AAGGAAGGGTCCCTCTCATCCAACGCCTTTTCAATCTCCTCCTCATGTTCTGAGGTATGTCTCTTATTAGTCTGTTATTATGTCCGTTTAAACTAGTGTAAAATCGTTGATAAAGGATCGTTATAGGTTGGTCAACTGTTGGAAAGGTGGAGGTCAGTATATAGAGTTTTGTTAGTCACATACCAAGGTGCTTCTGTTATTAGTCACAATAATTTTGATTGGAATGTTTGAAATTTTTGTAGGCGGGTCTTTTTAGGGATACCGTATATTTGTGATGAGTACGTCCATACGGGTTAAAGTAAGTTTGTATATGTATTCAATATCTGTTTTTAAGTTTTGAAGATCTAGCAAAAAGAGGATAAAGTAGTTTGAGTCGTTTGTTAAGTGTCTTACGCTTCATTTTAACATGCGGCCCCCATTTCATCCTTCTGTCGAAGGTGAGTCCTAGATAAAGTACCGTGTCAGTTTGAGGAATCTGATTGTTGTCAATATAAACTGGAGGGCAGGTGTTTTTTCGAAGAGGATATGTTATATGTTTGGATATTAACAATATCAAACTTAATATTTTAAACTTAAAACTAATATTAAAAGTAATATTTTAGATCTACGTTTTGAGCTAAAAATCAGCTATAAATAAAGATTCGTCTACAGTGCATGCCTGTCCCAGTAACAGAGGATTCAATAGTTTGTTTATCAATGCCCCCTGAGGAATTGACACTCAACAGAATTTTATCAAGGACTCTTCGGTAAAACTGTAGTTAAAGGTTTTGTGTTTATGGCGATTTTCATAAGTACAGCATACTTGTGATATGATCACCACAATACTAATTTGAACGGGAAACATAAAATCAATAGTTTACGAAATAAAAAAGATTAAATTTCGAACAACGGTCATATGTATGATAAAAGCTAATCTTAGTCCCATATTGCTGTACATAGGTAATCAGCTAGTCCGTACTAAACAGAAATTATCATACAGAGTTAAATGCGACTTATATTCAACAGAACAGCGATAGTAACCCATTTATTCATTCAACTAGGAACTTTAAGCAATTGATCAAAAATGATAAATCGCAGAACTATGCGCAAAAAAAAAATTGGAGGTTTATGCTTTTAACGTTACCATATAAAACCTTTAACCATATATTTAACTTATATATAAAAATACAAACAAAAAAATACCTGTATACCTATAGCCCATGGATAAGGAGACCAGATTTCCCGCTTTTCAACAATTTGTCCAGCGTCCCATGGCGTTCCCGATCTTTGGAAAGAAAGTACGACAAGCTAGATTAAGGCAGGAGAACGGGAAGAGAATATATGGTTTTCAGTGGCCATGTGGCTATTTCGTCAGGATATTAGTTTTGTTATTAATTTTATAATGCTAAAATTTAATAATACCGAATAATTGTTGAGAATTGATTATCGAGTACTGCTTAGCAAAGTTCGCATTGTTGATCAGTGGTTAGGATCCAAGCACCTTACAATTAACATTTGGACTTAATTGTCAGGTTATAGAATAACCTGAATATAAATTATAAATGACCCGAAAATGAAGTTTTATTAAGGTATCATTAATAAAAAATCGATTAATAAGCAAAATGATAAATCTTGCGCATCATTTGCTACTTCTATTACCGAAATTTTTTTACCTTTAATAAGTTTCATAGCGTTTTGAAAAAAAGCTATTTTATAGTGTACAAACTGCTGGCACAAATCATAAATTAGACGTCAAATACACCATCAAATTATTCGCTCTCAAAAATACTTCTTTAGATCTAAATCCCCTGCGATATTCCAGCTGAATACTGTGTCACCTGATTAACATTTACACCAGATTATCATTATAAAAAGTTAGTCATCGTAAGAACCAATGGACCATCCTCACCCTTCCCACCAGTCAATGGTATTCCGCTTTACCAATGTTAAAATCTGGTCATCCTACCCATGGAGGATCTTCTGCTCAACACTTTGTAAGGATATTTGTAAGGAAATACTGTTTCAATACTAATGGCTGTGACGAAAGTTATTGGACCACGCAGAGCCGCTAGATTTTCTAAATTCATTTTAATTTAATTTTATTTTTTTATCGAATTATAGTACATTTTGTCAGTACTAAGAACATCAATAATAGTGACACAGGAGTTCATTCCCAGCATATGCACTAAATATAAAATAAAAGGAACAACAGAAAAATAATTATACTACTACGCATCTTAATTAATTATTTACTTAAGATTACCCTCTTTATAGAGGCTGGGTATGCCATAAGAAGGTTTCCTTATCCCAAGGTCGATTTAATTGAATAAATCATTACTTGCCACACCCGGACTAGAACCTGGAACCTTGAGTATAGGAGCCCAATGCCTTACTCACTAAGTTCCCCCCTCCTCCCTCCCGTTTCCGCTGAGCTAATATGTTTGAAAATATGTAGCAAATATAACTATTATCTTTGGTATCCCAGCTTTTTAATTATTACAGTAAGAAAAAAATCATTACCAACTAACAATTGAAGGAGTGCTAGTTGTGCGAGCCTGTGTTTGTCAACAGAGCGGAGACTGTTTCTCGTCACTGGCGAGATAAGGAGGTATTATCGCAATTTTTTCCCTGAGCGACGAACCATGTGGCGACGGTCCCACGGGAGTGGCGATCAGCTGTTGCTATATTTCTTCTCCAGCAGATAGCGACATCTGCCAGTGAACGATAACCCGCCTCGATGGTCAGCCCATTAGTGCCTTCTTAGGATACTCCGCCGGGGTTGTCAACTTGCCCCAGTATCCTCTCGTCATCGTAACCCTTTGCCCTCTTTCTCAAAATGTTTTTCGTTTTTCAGTGAGGCTTTCTTTCTCAACATTTTTACAAGGGATTTGAATTACTTTTCACTAATCTCAGATTGCTCGCCAAACTTTTGCTAGTGGCAAATAATTCATTAGGAACTTTTATAATACAATTAAAAAAAAATATATAAAACCATAGCTTTTAATTTATGGTGTTTTTCTACTGTTTAAAATGTATGTTTTACTAATAGAGACATTTACTAAAAGTCCCCGGGGTCATGGCTTGCGATGAAAAAAAGTTTAGTTTTACAAACGACACTTCAGTAGTGAATCAGCTTTGTAAGAAAAACAACTCGTGCAATAAATGTTGTAGTAATAGCGTGTTTGACTGATTTACTAAATTCCATATTTTTTAAATGTTTTTTAAAAATTTTACCATTTAATCACAGAAACTTTCACGGGCAGTTTGGAGGGTTGGAGGGTTTGGAGACCCTTGTATTAGACAAACGTAAATGACGTTTGACTAGACCAGGCAAACTCGTTGTTAAAAGAGCCAAATATCCAAATTAAAAAGATTGAAATTAGTTTTGAGACACTTTTTTTAAAGAAAGTTATTTAGGGTTAAATAACTATAAATAATTAGGGCATTAATTAGGCCCAGATAAAATTAGCCAGATACAACTACATACATGAATAGAAAAATTATAAGTCGATCATAAATCATAAGTATCTTCAACTATTGTTTTACCATTAATGACATATGATTTCCATTTTCAGGACATTTTAAATTTCAGATGGCAAAAAAAACCATATCAATGCTCTGCTCGGTATTATGGAACAATATCTCCAAAACAATAAAAAAATTTACAATAGTATAGTATTGAACAAAATAACATATGGGTCAAAAACTTGGACCATAAAAAGCAACCTCAGGAAGAAACTTCTAGCCACCGAAACGGACTATTGGAGACGAACGGCGGGAATATCCAGAATGGATAAAGTGGGAAATGTGACCATCAAAGAAAAGATGGAGGCTAAAAGTACCATTCTGGAAGAAATTGAGATAAAATGCCTGAAGTGGTATGAACTTTTGAAAAGAATGCCTGAAGGAAGACTACCCAAACAAGTCCACTTATGGAAAATTAGGGAAAAAAGAAGACGAAGAAGACTAAGGAAGACCTGGTATAACGAAGTGGAGGAATCCATGATGGGCCATGGTCTACGGGAAGAATGGACCTCAGATAGGACATTATGGAAAGAAGGCATCCAAGCACTTTAGGTTAAGAAAACTCACTATTAGTGGAAATTCCTAATTAAAAAAAAAGGATCTTTTAACAAACGCTTTAATTTTAAATTTTAAAAATTATATGATAGTCAGCGATTAGCTGTATCGGGTTTACGAGGATTTTTAAATAATATAATAAAAAAATTAACTCATGAACAAGTAAAAACGTTTTTCAGAAAGGTATAGTTTAATATTTCATAATTTTCCATTGACTTACAACATAACTTACAATGGAGAACAATAGTTCTACGGTATATATACAAATAACCGTAGCATGTACAAACAAGTACGAAAGAAGGACCTCTTCCTTTTTAATATTTTAGGTAAATAACAAAACTCTAAGTGATTTATCCAGAATTTTCCGTGGTTTACATAAAATCAATTGTTGTAAATTATGTGTTTTTTATAAAATGAAATAAGTATATCTGTATACAGTAACTACGCTGTAGTTTTGAAATTAAATCGTAAGTTTATTCGAATCATATCTGTGTATTTGGGTCTAGGTGTTAATTTTAGGATTCTTTCAATAATGTTTTTTTTTTCTATGTTGGACATCATTACGTGTAATTATTCTTAGTTTAAATATATGCAGCAATCGAATTTAACTGAAACTACACCTCAAAAGAAAAAAAAATGTCAGGTGGAAAATCAGGATTAAACTCAAGAAGTTATTCTTCTCACAATTTTTAAAAAAATGGCAGTTGAATTATTACTCGAATTTAATCAAAAGAAAGAATAATGGTGTTCAATCATATGTTTATTATTTACAAAACTGTAGAAGACAAAAATCCTTACGATAATCATATATATTTTTTTTTTTTTGAAATTCTGAATAATTCAATATACATTTTACTGAGAGAGTATTGGATAGGATATGCAGGAGGAATATTGAATGCAGTTCGGGGGAGTGAAAAAGCACGGTGTGGGAGAGAGTTACCATGGTAACCTGGGAAGCGTCTCCCTATTGGTCATCTTACGTTACCCTTCGTAGGGAGTCTGCAAGGAATTGATAATGCGGCACGTATTTTGTAGCGTCTTTATCCTGGTGAAGGTATCATGTGTTTGATACAAACATCTAATACTGTCTATCATATGGCATACGTACCATCTTGAATTAATCCGCGTTATCCATTTCATGGGAAACTTCTTTGCTATTGCAATAACCTGATGTTAATTCATAGAAACATAGAAAACAAATAACTTATATCTAGAAAATTGATCGCTATCGTCAAAAAGTTATGTTAGGATGAAAAGAAAATGCTAAACGACGGTCAGTTACGAAATTTGACCGGCTCAATCTTTTAATCGTGACCAGATAATTTTTCTTTCAACGCCATGGTTTACCACAAACGTTTGGATTCCTTGTTTAGAATTATATAATTATTTAGCAAACTTATGCTCAACATGTTACCGATTTAATAAGATCCAGGTCCATCCAAAACCACTATTTTGGATCATTTTCGATTCCTAACAATCCACCTAGGCGTCTGAAAAGATGATAGCTTCAGACCTTCTAATATAGAACTATTATGGGAGACCTAACAATGAATAGTTTTTCTACAAGTCGGTCCATGCAATTATACTAATTCACATTTATTGGTTGCAAACAGTGAAACACTATTCCTATTCATAACAAAAGATTCTATCCCCAGATGTCGAAAGTGTAACCAATCACTAATTCTAAAACATATTTTGGAAGAATGCCCTTTTTACACCGCAAGATTAAAAGATCTCGGAATACCCCAGAATATGTCAGCATCCCTGGGAAATCAAGAAGAAATCGTTACCAAAGTCATCAGGTTCCTGGATAGTGAAGGACTTAAAAAACACATTTGACAGGCTTATAATTAATGATCCTTTGCAGATTTACTATTATTTTTTTTTTTTTTTTTTTTTATTCTATTTTCTCTTATTATTATTATTATTTTTTTTTTTCATTTCATTTTAAATTAATTTGTTTATTAATCTCAATTCATTTATTGATTCTACAGCTAGTTTTTAAAGTTTATTTATTTACATATTTTTTATACATGTATTTATTTATTTTATTCTATCAATCCATTTCTTTTTTTATTTAATTTTATTTTATTTTTTTTTATTTTTTTTTTTATTATTTTATTTTGTATTTTTTTGTACCAACCATCCAAATAGTATTAAGTGGTGTTATTTAGTTGATAGGGCGCTTATGACCTGGATGTTTTGCTCCTAGACATCGCAACAAACAAACAAACAAACTATTCCTATTGTAGATGTTATTAGAAAAAAATATTATTTTAACTATAGTTATAATCATCTACATAAAATTAAATTTTAATATAAATAGTAAACAAATACACATCAAGCTGCTAGTGGGAAATTGAGTTTTTAATTAATCTATGATTTGTGGTCTGCCGACAGTGTTGGCGTAGGACGAGCCCACTTCGAAAAACAACCCCCCTCGAACCTGAGGAAATCGAATTTCTTCCACTTCGTGATCGCCCTCTACGACCGAGCTGGACAGCCCATCGAGATAGAGAGGACCGCTTTCATTGGCTTCATCGAGAAAGATCAAGTTAGTATTTATTATATATTTATTTATTAAAGTTTATTTATTTTTAAAATTATTATAATGCAGTATTTTTAAATTGATTTTATGCTAGCCGGAATTTTATAAATTTTAGAATAAAAAAAATTAAAATATAACAAATAAATTATGAATTTTAAAAACTGAGTATTTTAAAATTTTAAAATAAATATGTATATATAAAAAAAATTGAAGGTTTTCACTACTAGTTTACAAAAAATTAAATTAGGTGCGTAGATCTAAAGAAATATTAATATCTGTCCTATTTCCTTTCGATCCTATTCTCTTTGAAAACCTTTTTTAGAACAGCTAAAAAATAAAGTAAAAAATAATATATTTATATTTATTGATTTCTTCTATAGTATATTATTTATTTTAATTTTAGTTTTTTCATAATATCACGCTATCTGTCTAAAAAGCACCCTTGACCAGCGCACTTTGTGGCGTTGGTTTGAAAAATTTAGCAGTGGAGATACGACGTTGGAAAGGAAGAAGGGCTTCGGTCGACCATTAATGGATATTGACGAGGTTCTGCAGGAAGCTGTTGAGTCAAATCCGTCCACGAGTACTCGCGAACTTGTCAAGGAACGAAAGATTCTGTTAGTCGCCATCTACTCTCCATGAGGAAGGTGAAAAAGAGCAGTAGACTGGTCCACCAAAAACTTACTTCTGAACAATTAGTTAAGATTGTTAAAATTTATAAAAAGTAATTGAAAAATCCATGAACTCGAATTCCTCCCTCATCCACCAGGTGGATCCAGTCCAGATCTCGCACCATTGGATTATTACTCATTTAGATTCATAGTCCATTTTCTTCAAGGGAAAAATTTGATAATTTGACGGAACTTCAAATTGCCAAAGATTTTTGACAGCCGTGTATCAGCGTGGGATCGAGCAATTGGCTAGCAGATGGCTAATGACGGTAGATAACAATAGGCTATTATTTGTATTTTATATCCAAGAAATAATGATCCAAATATTTGGTTGAAAAGATCATTTTTTTTTTATTCATACTATTATCTTGTCTTTGTAGCTCTTTAGATGGCATTTATAATGGGCTTTCACAACAATTCTGTTTAAATTATGCTGACCTTCTCCAAGAAAATCGAGATTTTATGACTGTTTATTACTTTGTGTTAAGGCTGTAAAAATAAGGTCTTACAAATAGAAGTTCAACTACGTTGATGAGCTTAAAAAAATTAAATGCAGAAGTTTATTTGGCTTCTTCTTGAATATTTGAACCAAGTATGCTAATAAACGAAATATTCTTGTTTCATTTTTTCAAGCTGCTATTTTCTTAAAAAATCTACCTGCGTCTAATTGTATATAGATTTGAAATTATATGTTTGATAATGACACACATTATCTGTACCAGTTTATACGAAGATAAAATAGAAGATTATTACACCAACAGATTGAAAACAGTAACAGGACTATTAAAGTCAGACATCCAATTATCATAGTTCTGTTATCCTCGTCCTTTACTAGGAGTCCGGACAGTCTTATCTAGCCTCTTGTAAAAATGTAGTTACTTTTTTTTATAATGGAAGAATGACACGTGAAGTGGCAACTAACATCGGACACGAAACCACTAATGAGAGTAGCACGTACTAGCTGATAACGGAACCAGCTATCCACACCCTTGCCACAAGATGATTCTGTTCCGTTTGTCACTTGTTCCAGTTTTATTATTTTAAAACCTAAACAATCCTTGATCCTTCGAATAATTTAAAAATATTATCTCTGTATAATTGATGTGAACTGAAGGTAGGGTTTTTCAACTTTTAAGAACCTCAAAGAAAATCTTCAGTGTAAAAAATAAAATAAAACGCAAATTTAAGGAATGAGGGGGAAAAAAAGAATTAATTTTTTCATAAATTTGTTTTCCTTTTAGCTTTACACACCTTTTAGATGTTTTGTCACCTTTACGAGCCTTGTCCATCTTTGCCTATGATTATTATTGTTTTTATTATTACATTCCACTTATCTGCTCGCACCTCTACAGTATCTTAGTTGATTCGATCTATCCATTTGGTTTTGGCTTTCTACGTTTTCTCTTGTCTAATATTGAGATATTATTGTTTACTATTAATTGTGTTTTAGAGGCTTCCTGATAGATTGCTCCGGGCTACGTGTCCCGCCTATCTTATCATGAGATATCGATTGACCAGTTTCCGTTAGCAGTTCTTTATTGGTCCTTCTCCTCCATGCGTTAGTAATTTAATCCTAGATTGATCCGGTTATTCTGCGGTGCATTTTCCTTTCAAATCTTTCGGTACTTCTTTCTATGGTGAGAGTTAGTTTATTTATTTTTTATTGAATATTAAATAACAGAATCTGCCACATTGAAGAGCAACTAGCATCAAAAATAAATCGTATCATATTCATAATGAAATAAGAAATAAATCAATAAGTAAAAATGAAGTAAAACGTCGGTTAGTGTCTTGGTCTCGCAACCTATAATATATTATTTTAAATAACTTTTTTTTTTATTTCTTAAAGACATTTACAACTGTATTAAATAAATACATCTAGTAAATTTGAACATAAAGTATATAATGACATGAAAAACACTTGCTGAGTAACTAACCAATAGTAGCACTCTAATTAAATAACTTCAAACTCCAACTATCGAAGAATTCTCACCTTGAATAAGAGAAATGAATAATGAAATATAAAAGAGCATGAATAAATTAAACAAGGCCAAAAAAATGTGGAAAACTACTTACTCATTTCATTTTAATAGCTATACAAAATTCTTTTCAATCAGGAGTTTTGAGAAAAATAGCCCGTTATACGTGACAAATGACTTGTTACAGCAGGATTTTTTTTTCTCGATACCCCTATCTTACCATTTCTGGCATTCTTATAAAAGTAAAACCAAGTCTTCTCTAACCAGAGTGGGAAGATCGAGATTCATTCCGTAAGCCCGCCACGAAATAAATTTCAACTCGCCCAGACGGATTCGAACTTGCATCGTTAGATCCGAGAATGTTAAAGTTTACGCTTTAACAAGTTCGGCCATCATGAACTCTGGACTTGGACATCCACGGTAACAAATAATTCAACATAATTCTAAAACAAATTGGACCAGAGACTGACTTACAACATGAACCCATTAGCCCAAACACTAAATTTTATCACGGACCCGTACACCCCACCCGGGTGAAGGTAGTGGCCAAGAGATTTTCCAACTTACCTACTCGGTAACGTGTCCACATTTGCTTACTGAAAAACTTTGAAAATGACAAATTTCAAGCCTGTTAAATTTACTTATTTGTATAAATAAGTAAATAAATAGCTACTCAACGATTCTCCTTTTATTCTTAGGAGCCTTGATGGATGCTTTAGGTCCAGACCCTTCCCAAAAAACATGGTAATTCTCAGGAATTAGGAATCAGTGCATTTATTATTTTTAAGCAACACACTATGATAAATCAAAACAAATATATAGTGAAAAGAGAATTTAATAATAATAAGATAAATGATGAAATAATAATCAAAATATATTTTAAAAAATGACGATAGGAACTTATTTCTCGAACCGTTGCTTTAAGTGATCATGTACGATTTATCGATAACGTCAATGTATTATTCCAGGCTTGTGTAGAAGTAGATTTGGAGTGAGGGAAGATCCTTGCAAGTCGCGACTGAATAAGACGGGGAGGATCCGGGGGAGGGGAAGGGAGGAAAAGCCGACGACAATAAAGAGGAAGAATGAATGTAAATCTAAAGAGGGGAGAACTTGGCGGGGTAAATTGTTTGCTCGCTGGCGTAAATATACAGGCTGAATACTGCAAGGATGATATCTGTTCTTGGCAAGCTGTTCAATTATCACCGTCTCTACAGTGCCTTTTAGATCTTACTGCTGGCTATACCACCAAATACTTCTGAAGTATAAATCTCAAGTAATGCGAATAAAAATTAAGTTACTGTGATTTAAATTAATACAAAGAAAATAATTTTAGAGTAAATAAAAATAAACACAAGGTATCCAATATTTTAATTTTCTTTTTAAAAAACAATAGTTGAGACTCATATTTCGTTTAATTAAAAGATATATATATATATATTATAAGATATATATATATATATATATATATATATACTTCTATATATATATATATATATATATATATATATATATATATATATATATATATATATTACAATAATATAATCTTTAGGGCAATAATAAAATATAAATTCAAAATTTTATGATAAAAAAAAAAGTTTTTTTTCATTACAATACGTCCAATATGTACAAATGGGCATAACAGGTGCTTAATACGTTGATTAACCTTATCCTATATTACTAGACAACCATATAGACACTAAACGTTTAGTAACACGCCATACTATAGATACCTAGTAAGAATAAAATGCATTCAATCTGGAGTGTGAAAATGCCATGAAATGATATAATTTGATATTAATAAATACATCATTGCACGAAAAATCAATTGCCGTAAATTACTAAAAACTTTCAGTTTGATAGTAATAAGCCGACCGTTGACAACCTCTTATGCAAATAGGTTATCGATGTTAATTTTATTTTTTATCAATTTATTTATTTTATTATTTTTAGGCTATTTAATTGAATTTTGTAATAGGTCAAAAGACGATACATATTATGTAAATGGTTCATTTTCCCAAATTACTTTGGTACATGATCCAGTTAACTACAAAGCTATCCAAAATATTAATTAATTACTAACACGTTTCAGTTTGCTAGTAATAAGTCGAGCGTTAGCAGGCTCTCATGCAAATAAACTATCGGGTTAATTTTTGTTTTTATGATTGATTAATTGATTTTTTAATGTGTGGTAATAATAAGATTTTGTTTGTGACAAAAAATGTATCAATTTATAAATGTTAATAACTGTTATTCTTTTTGGAATAAACAATAAATTCTATTGTTGCTATTAAATCTATTACTAATCTAAGACTTAAATATAAAGTTCATTATGTTTTACTTCTTTCAAGAATTAAAATCAACACATCCCAAAATATTTATATTTTGGAGAATTATTTTTCGTTTAAGTATCAATATTATTATTCAATATTTACTTTAATCTTTTCAAAGATTGATAATATTCAGGCATAACATATCAAAATATTATATAACGATATTTCTATGTATCGATAAACTTGATCGAACTTTTGTTATAAGTTTGGTAGTATCCAACGCATTCCATTAATACTTATAAAACTATTTATTTAATGTTAAATTAAACTATTCAGTATATCGTTGGGGTATACTAACTGTTTGCTGGATATTGCCCAAAAGATGGCCAAATCTACACCTTTGAATAAAATAGGAAATTATTGTTTTATCTCACCTTTTGCTGATTTACAAAGATAATTATAATCCCCAAAAAATAATGGCTAGATAGCTAATAATTTTTTATAAGTGAAATGTAAAAAAAATGTATAATATGAACTAATAATTCTTTTTTGAATTGATTCACGATCCTTAACTAGAATCACTACTCTAAAATTATCGAACTCGAAAAAATGTTTCGATCTGCACATATATTTTCTTAAATGTGAAGAAGTTGATTGATGAACCAGCTTCTTCCTAGTTCGTGGAATGGACTAAAAACGTTTCATCAGAGTTTTGATTTGAAAATATTCAGGAAACAAACCGTATCTGTACACTCAGAACATGCATGTGACCATGATTCAGCAGTAAGCTTGTAGATCTATCCCGATTAGTCGAATACGTCACAAAATAACAGACTGGCTCGGAAAAAAAAAGAAATGACACATGTGATAGCTATCGGTAAAATAAAAGTATGGTGGAACAGAAACGATAGCTGTGTCAAAAGCGGTCTTATCTTGATTCAAAGCCAGTGTAAACTGAACGGTGTACTAATTTAATGCTTGGCCGAGATAACAGGTAATGCAACTGACCAGCAACTATATCTAATCCAACTGACGATAATGGCCACTTGATGCTGCCCTATCTATGTGCCCTATCGAGGGCTTTGTTAATATCCATGCAGATCACCGCCTAGCGATTTATAGGGAGTTGCCACAATCGGAGGTATTAATTGGTTAGTTTATACTATCCCAATTACCAGCTATAACAAGAAGAAAATAAAAATTCATCATTAATTATTTGTATCAAATCACTATGGATCGATATTAATTATACCAATAATGCTAAATGTAAATACTCAACAATAGATAAGAATTTATTGCTGGAACTCAGGAGCACTAAGATGTATATTACCTCCCGACTTACTGATATTTTTTTTTAACTTTTTACTATGGTATTTACAACTGTATTAGTATAAGTACATCAAATAAATGTATACAGAGGAATATAATCACATGAAACATGCTTGTTGAGAAACTACCCATTGGTAGTACTCTAATAATATGTCTACAAGAGGAGATCAAGAGGACATCTTCTTTTCAGACGCCTCGGAGGGTTATCAGGAATCAAAGAGGAAGCAAGGTTAGAAACAAGAGGATTCGGATGGTTATGAAGTTTATTATGGAAGGATAAGTATCTGGATTGGGCCAAATCGGAAACGTATGGAACATTGAGGTCTTTATGGATTGACCCATAGCTCAACTCCTTAAGTCCAAATAGGCCTTATTATAGTCATGTATATGAGTCGTTTATAATTAATTGCAAGTTTAGAGCGTGTGTCCAGTAAGTGTTGGAGTAAGCGGAAACGTCAAGCAGTTTCTTGTCGTTTCAGTCTTGTATGAGGATTCCAAGTGAAACGTTTGTCCAGGTGGAGTCCTAGGTATCGGACTTGTTCTACAGGGATAAGTGATGTGTTATTAAAGGATACTGTAGGACAGAAAGTCATTGGTTCACGACGAAGTACGGAATTAAGTAGACCACTCAATCAGAGGATGATACTTAATAAATCGCCCAATTACCAAAAATGTTTGGAGCTTGATATTAGAAAAATAGTCTACGGCAAAATCCTACTTTAATATCTTTTTATAAAATGTCTCTAGGTTGACTTTTAAATGATTGAAAGAGAATTTAAATAAACAAAAATTCAATCAGGGTATTTCAAACGCTTAATTTCTCTGACAAGATATTAATAATAATTTTATCTTATACAATTATTTTTTATTGTTTGATGGATACAAATATTCAGGTTAACTAAATAATATAAAGAACATTTACTTTAGGCATTACAACCCCTCACTGGGTCCTGGCCTACTCAAGTAGCTTTCTATTGATATAACGTTACGTTTGAGTTGAAATATTTCTTTTTTTTTAAATTGGCGTAGTGTCAACATTCACAATTCGTAACTGTAAAAATTCAAAACAGTTTAGAAAATTTAAATGTTGAATGTTTAATAGTTGACGGTTGCATTATAAAGGAAGGAGATGGTCCGGGGTTGCCGTCATAATTAGGCTAAATAGTGGCAAAACTATTTTATTAAAAGCCAACGTTTCGACCCGACTTTGCAGGTCTTCTTCAGGAAGGTGTTTAACTAGGAGTTTCACTTAAAACTTGAGTTTTAAGAAGACCTGCATGGTCGAAACGTTAGCCTATTTATGAAAGCCACCCCGGACCATCTCCTTCCTTTAAAATTTAAATATTTTTCTACTGTAATTAATATTTTAGGCGATTTTGTCCCTCCACCCCCTAAAAAAAATAAAATAAATAAAACAACTATTAACAACAAAACGTCTCTATACACATACATAATTTAAATATATTTATATTTTTAAACACTAATGATTTCTATCCATATATATTTCTATATGGTAAAATATTTATCTTTTTTTTTAGATGAAAATCGGATACCTACTAATGGTGTTTTGTATTTTATTTTTTAATAACTTATACATAAAAACTAATGGAATAGCATGGTATTAGTTTGCATAAACATTACAAAATTATGTAATATTAAATGAATTGGTAATGTGGTATTTGGAAGTTATAAGGATAAATATGGGCACCAAAGGCTTATTTAATTTTAATGTAAACAAATTTTTTTTGAAAAGAGACTGCCGTATGTAAAGTAAGGATTTACATGATATAAAACAGACTAATACTACCTAATAGCAACTTATAAGGCTTTCATTATAAAAATCCACTATTTCAACCGATGGATGGCAAACGTTTCTCAACGAGGAGGCCCGGATGTCTCTATTGAACTTGAAAAAAAGTGTACATAATTTTATGTAAAATAAAAATATATATATAAACTAACAAGAAATATGTAGCCAAGAACAGACCAATATTAGCCAAAACTGGAAAGCTGACTCAATGAAATAAAGCATTAATACCCCGGGACTACCCCTCCTTTTGATAAATAGCCTGCCAATTATCAGATCCCAGTAACGAGAGACTCTATGTGGGGTCATTCAAGTAACCCAGCTTTTTTCGTCAGTTTTTTTTTTCATCCAAAACGATATCCTTTTTGATTACACGCGCTGTATTTTTGCTAACGTTCCCAATTAGTCACGATTCCATTCAACACAATTTTTTGTACACGTGCGAGTGATGGATGGCTGACGGAGGTATACTTTTTTTTTTAAACTTTCACTGACTGAAGAAATATATTCACTCATTGATTACCTCAATATTCCACAAATGACTGCTCTAGCAAACTAAAATATAATATTTAATAAATAACATCCTTCGACATTTATAGCTTCGAAAAATAATAATTTTAAAGATATAATACAGATAGACTCTATATACATAAAGTCTGTCGTATTTCGATTTAATGGAAATCCAATCTTTTCAATTTTTTGTTTTTTTTTAAACGAACGTTAAGAGATCCCAGCGTCTCTCACTCA